AGGAAAAGAGTTCATGGTTTAAAAACGGATCTTTTCTGTATTAAAAAAAAAAAATTCCTATTACTAACTACTAACCTTGGGAACAATTAAATCAGTCCCAGTTCATTCATGTGAAAATTAAAGAAGAGGTTTCCTTTTATAAGGATTTATGTGAACAAAAAAAGAATTAATATTCATAAAACATTTGGCGTTACCCTGGCAAAAGTTCAGAGAAATAATAGAATGATAGTTTTTAATGCTTATATCAAGAATTATGATCATAATCCCTCCTGGGTTTAGAAAAATGACAATTTCAGTAAAATCACTCTCCAAACAACAGAGAAGAGTGTTAAAGAGGAACGAAACCTGATTATTAAATCTCTTTGCAACTTAAAGCAAGTAACTTAAACTTTCTCATTTATAAATGATGATAATAATACCTGGATCTGTGCCACAGAATATTGTAAAGATAAAACACATAAGATACTGTGGGTGTAGTAAGTTATTTAATATGTCTCCTCTAGCCTTAGTGTTTCAAACTCCCATCAAACTATTCTTTTTGTGATGGGTCTGGTACTGGAAGGTGGGAGAAGATGCTGATAGGAAGCTGTGATTCAATTGTGAATGATTGCTGACAGGGTTCATTGTGATTATAAAAAGTTGAACCGCTACAAAATGAGCCATCTGAGTTGGATCAGAATCTCACTAACATCAAAGAAGAGCCGGGAGTGGAGCTTATCCTTTGGACCCTTAAATCCCCCTGCATTAGATCTCCCAGACCCAGGGACAAAAAATTGACACCAGGGGAGAGGCCAAGCAACAATAGCAACAGAACCAAAAGTCAGAGCATCAGGTGGAGCAAGGAAATCTGAGTGTCTTTGGGCAGGAGGCTCACTTGTGGAGTGGGGTGGGGTGCTTCCAGGCACTTAATTGGGTTTCTGACCCACAGAGCTAGAGCTGAGCACCTTCCGCTGAAGCTTATAGCAGACTGGAGTGCTCTTTGGACACTTATCAGCAGTGCTACAAGAGCTTTGTAACATTACTGGATCAAAGCAGAGGCCAAGTGCCCATAGCTGAGGGGCCAAGAACCAGAGAGAATGCATGGTACAGAAAAAAAATGACCAAATAATTTTATCCTGAATGTTTCCTGCTTTGTAGTCTGTTAACTTTCCTAATAAACCCCATAACTATGAATATGGTGTCTGAGTTCTGTGCAGCCAATGCAGTGAACTCTCTAACCCAGTTGAGAAGTAGAGAGTGCTGTGGGAGAGATGGTTGATGCCATTTTTGCAGATACATTGAGCTCTTTAAAATAAAGCAATATTGAAATGTTGTTGTTGTTATGAGCTGTGGAGTCAATTCCAACTCATAGTTACCCCTGTACAGGGTTTCTGAGGCTATAAATCTTTACAGGAGCAGAAAGTCTCATCTTTCTCCTGCGGAACAGCTGGTAGTTTCAAACTGCTGACTGTGAGATTAGCAGCCCGATATGTAACCACTACGCTACCAGAGCAACTTCAATATTGAAATAGAAGACATTTATATAAGTTTCTGTAAAAAAAAAAAAAAAAGTCTACCTCCAATAACCAAAACTCATAAACATTTTATTTCAATAAATCTGATTATTAACTGTTTTGATAGGATACACTGTTCCACTGGGTCCTGTCAAAAAGTTTTGCACATTTTAAACAACCTGACAGGAATTTTAGCCTACAGCTGGAAAACCAAACCAAATCCACTTGTCATCGAGTTGATTCGAACTCATTATCATCCTATATAGGGTTTTTGAGACTGTAAATCTTTACAGGAACAAACAGCTTTATTTTCTGCCAAGGAGAAACTGGTGGGCTTGAACTACCAACTTTGTAGTTTGCAGCCCAGTGCCTAACCCACACTTTGGCAGGAATCTCGGCCTGCAGATGGGAGTAACCCTCTGTTTGCTGTTCTTCAAGATCTGCCTGTGTTAGGAAGTAGGTCAGGGTACTACTGCAGGTGATGATGGGTTTGAGGGCCCCCACTTGCAGAAATGTTGCTGGGATTCCTAAAATCACACCCTTTCATCGTCTGCCACTTTAATATGGCGGTTATGTGCCGTGGAGTCGGTTCCGACTCATAACGACACTGTACAGGGTTTCTGAGGCTGTAAATCTTTACGGGAGCAGAAAGCCTCATCTTTCTCCCGCGGAACAGCTGGTGGGTTCGAACTGCTGACCTTGCGGTTCACAGCCCGATTCGTAACCACTACGCTACCAGATGTTTCCAGCTACCATCTACATATAACTGTTAGTATTTTCTCATTATTAATTGCCTCTGACTTTCATATAGTCATTATTCATACAGTTTAAAATGTTTACCATGAATACACCAAAACCACTTTATAACAATACATTAAATTTGGTTTCTTATTTAACAGTGACAAATAAATTTCCTCCAGGCTACAGTCTTTATAGTAAAATTTCTGGTTTTGTGTGGTATTGGAAAAGGGTAGCGGGAATTAAGTAGTCCCCTCTCTCTTCCCTTCTCCTCTCATTCCCCCTTCCCCTCCCCACCCTTCTCTCTACTCCCAATGTTGTGAGGTCACCAGACCCTTCAAGATTAGAGCATGGATGTTCCCTGGACTTGTCCAGTCTAGTCTTCTTTCCCCCACCTGCACAGCCCTTGCAGCCTTGCTTCCTTGTTGACCTGGGTGTGGTGGGTGGGGAGGAGAGACTGAACAATGGATGCAGTGTTAAAAGAACCGAAGGCAACCTCTGCTGGAGACTCAACCAAGCATTGCCAGTTGAATCGTCAAGACCTTTCACAACGTTTGCTCAGAGGGTCTGAGGAGAAGATTCCTTTCACTCATTCAAGGTCCATACGTCATAGAGGTTAACAGCTAAAGGGCTCCTGACCTTCTGTCAGCCCTTGTGGAGAAGTCAGGCCCCCAGAAAAGGAAATGCCTGGTTTAACTCTACTTTCCTGGACCTCAGATGACAGCTACATGCCTGCAGCGGCCTCCTCCAAAACCCCTTGAGACCTGAAAATTGTTTGTCAGCCAGATTGCTTGGCTCCAGTAATAATCCCCATTTCTCTCAAAATAACTTGTGAATTTACCGTTAGTCTTTTGAAATTTTAGGTTTACAGCTATTTGTTGGAAAAACATATTGGTCTGTTCTAATTGTATTGGAAAGGAGCTCTGGTAGCGTAGTGGTTACGAATCGGGCTGCAAACTTCAAGGTCAGCAGTTTGAAACTACCAGCTGTTCCACGGGTGAATGATGAGGCATTCTGCTCCCGTAAAGATTTACAGCCTCGGAAACCCTGTACAGGGCTGCTGTGAGTCAGAACCGACTCCACGGCACATAACCACCACCACCAATTGTATTGGAAAAAGACAGCCTGTAGGTTTTATGCTCTACATCTTTCACAAGTTTCTGAAGCCTAGAAGACCTAAGGGAGTGTTTTTCCACCTAGGATTTTTTAAAGAATGCTACATGACAGAGGAAGAAATTTTAGTTAAAATTAGGGAGCTAGAAATTGCCTATGTTGTGGAGTTGTTTAATCATTTTCATTAGCCTTAAAAATAAAAAAAAATAAAAAGGTAGAAAGGATTTTGAAAGAAGAAAAATGTTTAAAGCGGAAAGAAGGATAAAGAAAATGAAGAGGGTTACAGTAATCTTCTACCATTCGCCCCTCCCCGCTCAAAAGGGAATGTTATAAGATGTATGACACATACATCAATTGAGAATCCATGTAAGCCCCACAAAGCTGAGCACAATGGGTACCTCCTACTTAGTGTTTGCAGGAGAGTAGGCTGGCTATTAGACCTCCAAACAAAGAATGAGCCCGTGATTGACAGAACCAGTGGGGTTCACTCTCTTATACCAAATACCTCAATCCAGGCCTTGTCCTTTGTAGGTATCTTTTTCACGTTTTTGACCCTGCTGCACCACCTTGTGCTTCATACAAGCCACCTTATCTAGAAGTGGTGAGTCACTATTTATTGCCTACAGTTATTACAAGAAGTTTCTGAGTTTCTGCCCGGGGAACAGATTTTTCCTGCTCTCCCTTGAGAAACTGAACTTTATAGTTGTGTTGTTGTTGTTAGGTGCCATCGAGTCACTACCTACTCATAGCGACCTTATGCACAGCAGAACGAAACACTGCCTGATCCTGGGCCAACCTCACTACTGTTGCCATGCTTGAGACCATCAATGCTGCCACTTAGCGAATCCATTTCGTTGGGGTTCTTCCTCTTTTTCTCTGACCCTCCACCTTACCAAACATGATATCCTTCTCCAGTGACTGGTCCCTCCTGACAATATGCCTGAAGTCTGAGAGATAAAGTTTGGTCATCTTGGCCTCCAAGGAGCACTCTGGCTGCACTTCTTCCAAAACAGATCTATTGGTTCTCTGGGCAGCCCATGGCACTTTCAATATTCTCCTCCGACACCGTAACTCAAAAGCATCAATTCTTATATGGTCTTCTTTATTCATTGTCCAGCTTTCACATGCATATGAGGTTATAGTTAGGATACCTAAACCAATAGGGTGGTTCCCAGATTCTTCATCATTGGAACAACCAAATGGTTCTGAATTTTTGTGAACTCCCCTTTCTCACCCTTTTTTTTTTCAGAAAAGAAACAAAAAAATCACTTTTAAAGTTAGATTTTTATTATGAAAAATTAGTAGAAAATGTGATAGACTTTGATTTTTTCCCTCCTGCCCCCCCCCCCCCCATACACAAGGATGGTGCTAAACCAGCAATTGAAAATCTTAATGTAAATCTATTGTTGTTGTTAAGTGCCATCAAGTCAGTTTCTACTCTTACTGACCTTGTGTAAGGTTTCCAAGGAGCGCTAGTGGGTTTGAACCACTGGCCTGATAAAGCATTCCAGTGCTTATCCTATAGCTCCACACCAGGACTCCACTATAAATTGAATAGTTGTTTTATTAGCCTAATTACTTAAATTTAAAATTTTTATCATAGTATTTATTGGCCCACTTCTATTCTGAATTACCTTCATGTGTGCTTGATTGCAGGAAATCTTCACCGAACCAGCAGTGTTCCTGAGTATGTGTACAACTTGCATCTGGTTGAAAATGATTTTGCCACAGGGCGTTCCCCTGGCACTAAAATGTATGACATGTTACAGGTAGGATATCAAAGAATGAAACCCCAGTTATCAGATTACCATGAAAACGTTTTCAAACTTCCTTAGATTAGTTTTTTAATGTTTAATATTTCTCAATTCCCAAACGAATTATAAGAAAGTTGATTTTATGTTAATGCCATGAGAAATTGGAAGCTTTAAGTAGTATCAAGTCCTAGTGCGAATAAATATCCAAATAAACCAAGTCTTGCTTTAGAAAAAGTCTTTAGCCAGAAAGGGACACCTTGTCCATCTGTGTCAGAGAAAGGTACGTGTTGTACAACAGTACTGGAGTAGTTGTTGTTAGTGGCCATCAAGTTACCTCCAGCTCATGGTGACTTTATATTATAACAGAATGAAATATTGCTCGGTCCTGGGCCATCTTCATGATGGCTGATATGTTTGAGTCCAGAGGATAGTCTTTAGAAAAGACAAAAACTGTTGTATGGCTCATTTAAACTTTAGTTCTCGCTTGTGCAGGCAGGCACAACTGCTACTTATGAAAATCGCTGGGGAAGAGGAACCGCACAATACAGTTCACAGAAGTCGATGGAAGAAAGGTCCTTTAGGCAACCTCTGAGGAGGCTTGAGATTTCTCCTGACAGCAGTCCTGAGAGAGTTCACTACGCACACAGCGACTACCATTACAACCAGAGAAGCCAGGCGGGGCACACTTTACGGCACCAAGAAAGCAAGCGATCCACCCTCCTCATGCCACCAAGATATGCTCGTTCCGAAATTGTTGGCTTCAACCAGGCCAATGCTGTGAGTAGACAGCGCCACTATGACACGTATCACAGACAGTACCAGTATGGATCAATTAACAACACTGTTTTTGATGCTGTTCCTGTCAGCCCAGCAGTGCTCACATATCCCAGGCCTGGGACCAGTCACAGCATGGGCAACCTCTTGGAGAAAGAGAACTACCTTACTTCAGGCTCTGTGACTGGGCAAGTGAGGCCACTGGTGCCCCTGCAGCCTGTCACCCAAAACAGGGCCATTAGAACCTCCTGGCATCAGAGTTCCTTCCACAGTGCCCGCCCTATGAGGGAAGCTGTGGATTCAAGCGGGAGGAGAGCACATATGACGGCTGGCCAGGTGGCAGCAGGAGGAAATGGGAATTTGCTCTCCGACCGAAGCTCTTTCAACGACTGCCAGCTTGGGTAAGGCCCCTTCTGATTTTGTAGTTCAGTTAGTGCCAGCACATTCTGTTCCCACAGCCCTTACAACAAGCTGCCACTTCTGGGGTGGAGAGAAAGGTTTCCAGAGATAAGTGATGAAAATAATGACTTTTTACACAGCTGCCTAATTGACAGATCAGCCTGTTTACCACAGGGAAAACGGCCAACCTACCTGTTCATATGGCAGTTTTGTGGGGAAATAGGACATTTCAATCCATCTGTCCCAGATTAAATGCTGCTTGGAGGGGGCTACCCTAGGCTATATGATAATCTGCTCTAAGGAAACTCCAAGTAGACCAAAATATGGATAATTTCATGCATTTTTTTTTTGCAATAATTTCTTGAAATAAAGGAAGGAAAAAGGCAAAAAGGCTTGCTCCTGGTGCTGAGTGAACCTCAAATGCTATTTTGATAGGCACGATCATAAAGAGACAGTTGGAGCTAAGGAAAGACAGCTGATTTCTACATGCCTCTTTCCTCCCTTTGATACTTGATACTTATTTTTTATTCCAGCACCAGAAATTTAGAGAGTATTTTTTGGCAACTGCTGAATAATGAAAACAATGGAAATTTAAAAGTCATTCCTTTGTCGCCCCTATTTACATTATGGCTTGACTAATTTAGGTTTTGAAACTTAATTCTTGTCTGAGCTTTAACTTGGAACACAAGATTTGTTAAACTGAGAAATGTTGAGAAAGGTTGAAAATGGATAAATGATTCAGTCAGTATCTCCTGAAGTAATCTAATATCATTATGGCAAATTGTTAACTCTGTCATTTTTGTTGGATTTCTAAAAAGTTTCTTAATAAATGTTATTATCTTAAATTATCCTTTTAAGTGAAATTATGCAGTGATACTCATTTATTAGGGAGGGCCTGGTGATAAACAGCTTACCAAAAAGATTAATTAGGCCAAATTAATCATGAAGCAGGAAACATTTTTTAATGAAGGAAATTTGCTATAAGACTTCTACCATTTCCTAAAGAAAGTAGCTATTTTGTCAATATGGATACATTTATAAAGAGGAAAATTTTCATGAGGTAATTAATTTTGGAAGGAAAAGATAATGGATACTTAAAAAGTAATAATTCAAAATTTATTGAATGCCTCCTATTTCCTAGGATTTGCTCAAGGCAGTTTTAATAAAAATGATTTTAACAGTAACAAAGCTCTCTGCCACCCCATAGCCTCCATCAGCAAGGATCCTTTTCTTCCTCCTCTATGACCCCTATGCTTCTTAATAGAAGCATATATCCACCCTGCCACTTTCCAATTCCTTATCAACCCATTGCATCAGTCCCCACCGTTTCACTGAGCCAGTCTCCCAACAAATATACTGATTTACATTGCAAGCTTAATTTTAAGTCATAAGCAGATTCATATTCTAACCCTTATATTACTTAACCTGTCAGCAGCATATGATACCCCTGGTATGCATGAAAGTAAAGGTGTCTTGGCCCTCTTCTCTCCTGACTCTTTGTACTCTTCCCAGGAGGCCCTGTATACTATGTCATCACCATTTCTGAAGTCTTATCCTCAGCTCTGCCCTCTCTGCTGAACTCCAGGACTATGTATCTAACAACTTCCAGAACATCGCTAACTAAACTTATTTCTTCCCTACCTCTACTCCTAATCATTCCTGGAAATCATTCTTATTTCGTCCCACCACAGTCAAATATATCACTAAGCCACAATTTTGCTGCCTTTAAATTCTTTTGTCCTTTCCATCGTCATTGCACACACGTCTACCACTGACCTTGTATCACTCAAAACCATTCATTAGAACTGTGTTAAAATGGTCTTCCCAAATCGAATTGTTTCCCTCACCAGGGTAAAATCTTTCCAAAATTCCACCAAATATTCATACTTCTTCGCATGGCATACGAGGCCCATCACATTTTCATATCTTCTTATCACTCCAGTCTCATGTCTCTCTGCTCTTGTCTGTCTTTCATCACCACCATCTCTAAACACACAAACATGCCAGCCTCTTGGAACCACTGCATTTCCTCTAGTGGAAGCTTTATAGATTCATTCTATCCTTTCTCCCTTCTCCTCTTTCCCTTCCTCTGGCCCTTTATATATACAGCTGTTTCACTTGGCTGCTCATAATTCTGGATTTAGCTTCAACACCACCTTTCCCCTTACTACCCCCCTCTAAACCTGGTTTCTGTTAACTCAGATAAGCAGCACTGTGTTAGGTGTTTCTAAAAGAGGGATAGACTGAGGTTGTTAATGTACTTGTCTGCTCACCTTCTTGACTGTGAGCTTCTTGTAGTATCTTACTCATCTGTATATTCTCTGAGTTCTACAACAGATGGCATTGTACCAATGTATGGTGAAAGAATGAAATATGGACTCAACTTTTTGTCTTCTGGTTGTTTTGGGGTGTTGTTGCTGTGGCTCAGGTTCTAGAAGAAATATTAAACATATTATTTAGGATTGCTGTTTTAATGGACAGTAAATTTTATAGTATTTAATCATATTTCAAAGAATCAAAGGGGGACACCGAGGTGAAGAAATTTAAAATAAAAAGTAAAAATCTCCTATTCCTGATGACTCACTGAATTAGCCTCCTAGAAACCAGAAATCATAGAAACCAGCTCCTCACTTTGATCTTTGAAGGGAAAACTTTGCTCTCTTTGGTCAATAGAGAGAGGTCTAGAGGTATTATCGATAATGAAGACAGTAAATGACCCAAGGCAGGTTCTATGTCTGACTTTCCTCCTTCCTTTGGTATTCCCTTGGCTTATTTCAAGCTGTTCACTGAGAGGCCTGTCCCTTAAGACCACACACTCTGTTTTCCTTTGTCCTCTGTTGTCTCACATTTCAAGCTCTGCCTATCCCCTTATCTTTTGTATTTACTTTTCTCTGTTTAGTAAAGTTATCACATGGGAAGGAATATTTGTTTCATATTATGTGGAACATTTGTATAGAGTAGCTAGATAAAACTATAAATCTTCATAATGACATAATATATTAAGCAATGGGTCAATCTGTCTTTATAAGAAAAATGTGGCATCAGTTACTAGTGCAGCAGAAAACTGAAACATTGTATTAAAGGAAACCAATAGTCTAAATGAGATTGATGAAAAAGGGTTAAAAACCATCAAGTAAAGGATTCTAGCTAAGTATTTCTGAAAATCTTGTCTCTGTACTTATTTGGGACTGGTGATTTAACAAGTGAATATTAGATTCTTCTAGTGTGCCCAGAAGAAATGAAAATTGAATAGAAAAGATGAAGATCCAGAAGCCAGCAGTGAAAAAGAACTACCTCATATAAATAACCACTAGGTTTGTGTTGTGCCTACTTGTTATGTGGTAGGAAGCCAGGAAATAAAGAGCAGTGTTCTCTGGAATTAGTTGAGGTGAGGAAAACGTGGTACAGAGACTGAATCGTAGTCCAGTTTGTGACAGAGTGATAGAAAGCAGAAAAGAGGCCACGTTCTCCTTCTCTCTTAAAATATTTTTTTCACATTTTCTTAGTTGACCTGTTCTTTCATTTTCTATTCTTTATTTCTTAATTCAGCTATCTCTGTCTCCATTTTAACAGCACCAGGCAAGGATTTATTGCTGCCTAAGTGAAGATTCTTTTAGTGCCCTCGTTGTTAAGTACCGTGGAGTCGATTCCGACCCATAGAGACTTTGTATAGGGTTTCTAAGGGGCAGCTGGTGAGCTTGAACCACTGACTTTGCAGTTCAAACAGCTTTGCAGTCTGACGCATTAGCCCACAGTGCCACACCAGGACTCCTAGT